GAACACTGTTGCAATCGCACATTTGGCAAGATGTCTTTTAGAACACTGTTGCAATCGTTGTACGTTTGGCAAAATGTGTGTTAGACAGAACACTGTTGCAATCGTGGTACGTTTGGCAAAATGTGTGTTAGACAGAACACACTGTTGCAGTCGTGGTACGTTTGACAAAATGTGTGTTAGACAGAACACTGTTGCAATCGTGGTACGTTTGACAAAATGTGTGTTAGACAGAACACTGTTGCAATCATGATACGTTTGGCAAGATGTGTGTTAGACTGAACACTGTTGCAATCGTACACTTGGCAAAATGTATTTTAGAACACTGTTGCAATCGTGGTACGTTTGGCAAAATGTGTGTTAGACAGAACACTGTTGCAATCGTGGTACGTTTGACAAAATGTGTGCTAGACAGAAAACTGTTGCAATCGCACATTTGGCAAGATGTCTTTTAGAACACTGTTGCAATCGTGGTACGTTTGGCAAAATGTGTGTTAGACAGAACACTGTTGCAATCGTTGTACGTTTGACAAAATGTGTGTTAGACAGAACACTGTTGCAATCGTGGTACGTTTGACAAAATGTGTTTTAGACAGAACACTGTTGCAATCATGATACGTTTGGCAAGATGTGTGTTAGACTGAACACTGTTGCAATCGTACACTTGGCAAAATGTATTTTAGAACACTGTTGCAATCGTGGTACGTTTGGCAAAATGTGTGTTAGACAGAACACTGTTGCAATCGTTGTACGTTTGACAAAATGTGTGTTAGACAGAACACTGTTGCAATCATGGTACGTTTGGCAAAATGTGTGTTAGACTGAACACTGTTGCAATGGTACACTTGGCAAAATGTATTTTAGAACACTGTTGCAATCGTGGTACGTTTGGCAAAATGTGTGTTAGACAGAACACTGTTGCAATCGTACACTTGGCAAAATGTATTTTAGAACACTGTTGCAATCGTGGTACGTATAGCAAAATGTGCGTTAGACAGAACACTGTTGCAATCTCGGTACGTTTGGCAAAATGTGTGATTGACAGAACACTGTTGCAATCGTGGTACGTTTGACAAAATGTGTGTTAGACAGAACACTGTTGCAATCATGATTCTGTTTCGCAAAAATGTGTGTTAGACAGAACACTGTTGCAATCGTACACTTGGCAAAATGTATTTTAGAACACTGTTGCAATCGTGATACGTTTGACAAAATGTGTGTTAGACATAACACTGTTGCAATCATGATACGGTTTGCAAAATGTGTGTTAGACTGAACACTGTTGCAATCGTACACTTGGCAAAATGTATTTTAGAACACTGTTGCAATCGTGGTACGTTTGGCAAAATGTGTGTTAGACAGAACACTGTTGCAATCGTACATTTGGCAAGATGTCTTTTTAGAACACTGTTGCAATCGTGGTACGTTTGACAAAATGTGTTTTAGACAGAACACTGTTGAAATCATGGTACGTTTGACAAAATGTGTGTTAGACAGAACACTGTTGCAATCGTGGTACGTTTGGCAAAATGTGTGTTAGACAGAACACTGTTGCAATCGTACATTTGGCAAGATGTCTTTAGAACACTGTTGCAATCATGATACGTTTGACAAAATGTGCGTTAGACTGAAAACTGTTGCAATCGTACACTTGGCAAAATGTATTGTAGAACACTGTTGCAATCGTGGTACGTTTGGCAAAATGTGTGTTAGACAGAACACTGTTGCAGTCGTGGTACGTTTGACAAAATGTGTGTTAGACAGAACACTGTTGCAATCGTTGAACGTTTGACAAAATGTGTGTTAGACAGAACACTGTTGCAATCATGATACGGTTTGCAAAATGTGTGTTAGACTGAACACTGTTGCAATCGTACACTTGGCAAAATGTATTTTAGAACACTGTTGCAATCGTTGTACGTTTGGCAAAATGTGTGTTAGACAGAACACTGTTGCAATCGTACATTTGGCAAGATGTCTTTTAGAACACTGTTGCAATCGTGGTACGTTTGACAAAATGTGTGTTAGACAGAACACTGTTGCAATCATGGTACGTTTGACAAAATGTGTGTTAGACAAAACACTGTTGCAATCGTGGTACGTTTGGCAAAATGTGTTTTAGACAGAACACTGTTGCAATCGTACATTTGGCAAGATGTCTTTTAGAACACTGTTGCAATCATGATACGTTTGGCAAAATGTGCGTTAGACTGAAAACTGTTGCAATCGTACACTTGGCAAAATGTATTTTAGAACACTGTTGCAATCGTGGTACGTTTGGCAAAATGTGTGTTAGACAGAACACTGTTGCAATCGCACATTTGGCAAGATGTCTTTTAGAACACTGTTGCAATCGTGGTAAGTTTGGCAAAATGTGTGTTAGACAGAACACTGTTGGAATCGTGGTACGTTTGGCAAAATGTGTGTTAGACAGAACACTGTTGCAGTCGTGGTACGTTTGACAAAATGTGTGTTAGACAGAACACTGTTGCAATCGTGGTACGTTTGACAAAATGTGTGTTAGACAGAACACTGTTGCAATCATGATACGTTTGGCAAGATGTGTGTTAGACTGAACACTGTTGCAATCGTACACTTGGCAAAATGTATTTTAGAACACTGTTGCAATCGTGGTACGTTTGGCAAAATGTGTGCTAGACAGAAAACTGTTGCAATCGCACATTTGGCAAGATGTCTTTTAGAACACTGTTGCAATCGTGGTACGTTTGGCAAAATGTGTGTTAGACAGAACACTGTTGCAATCGTTGTACGTTTGGCAAAATGTGTGTTAGACAGAACACTGTTGCAATCGTGGTACGTTTGACAAAATGTGTTTTAGACAGAACACTGTTGCAATCATGATACGTTTGGCAAGATGTGTGTTAGACTGAACACTGTTGCAATCGTACACTTGGCAAAATGTATTTTAGAACACTGTTGCAATCGTGGTACGTTTGGCAAAATGTGTGTTAGACAGAACACTGTTGCAATCGTTGTACGTTTGACAAAATGTGTGTTAGACAGAACACTGTTGCAATCATGATACGTTTGGCAAGATGTGTGTTAGACTGAACACTGTTGCAATGGTAGACTTGGCAAAATGTATTTTAGAACACTGTTGCAATCGTGGTACGTTTGGCAAAATGTGTGTTAGACAGAACACTGTTGCAATCGTACATTTGGCAAGATGTCTTTTAGAACACTGTTGCAATCGTTGTACGTTTGGCAAAATGTGTGATTGACAGAACACTGTTGCAATCGTGGTACGTTTGACAAAATGTGTGTTAGACAGAACACTGTTGCAATCATGATACGTTTGGCAAAATGTGTGTTAGACAGAACACTGTTGCAATCGTACACTTGGCAAAATGTATTTTAGAACACTGTTGCAATCGTGGTACGTTTGGCAAAATGTGTGTTAGACAGAACACTGTTGCAATCGCACATTTGGCAAGATGTCTTTTAGAACACTGTTGCAATCGTTGTACGTTTGGCAAAATGTGTGTTAGACAGAACACTGTTGCAATCGTGGTACGTTTGGCAAAATGTGTGTTAGACAGAACACTGTTGCAGTCGTGGTACGTTTGACAAAATGTGTGTTAGACAGAACACTGTTGCAATCGTGGTACGTTTGACAAAATGTGTGTTAGACAGAACACTGTTGCAATCATGATACGTTTGGCAAGATGTGTGTTAGACTGAACACTGTTGCAATCGTACACTTGGCAAAATGTATTTTAGAACACTGTTGCAATCGTGGTACGTTTGGCAAAATGTGTGTTAGACAGAACACTGTTGCAATCGTGGTACGTTTGACAAAATGTGTGCTAGACAGAAAACTGTTGCAATCGCACATTTGGCAAGATGTCTTTTAGAACACTGTTGCAATCGTGGTACGTTTGGCAAAATGTGTGTTAGACAGAACACTGTTGCAATCGTTGTACGTTTGACAAAATGTGTGTTAGACAGAACACTGTTGCAATCGTGGTACGTTTGACAAAATGTGTTTTAGACAGAACACTGTTGCAATCATGATACGTTTGGCAAGATGTGTGTTAGACTGAACACTGTTGCAATCGTACACTTGGCAAAATGTATTTTAGAACACTGTTGCAATCGTGGTACGTTTGGCAAAATGTGTGTTAGACAGAACACTGTTGCAATCGTTGTACGTTTGACAAAATGTGTGTTAGACAGAACACTGTTGCAATCGTACACTTGGCAAAATGTATTTTAGACAGAACACTGTTGCAATCGTTGTACGTTTGGCAAAATGTGTGTTAGACAGAACACTGTTGCAATCGTGGTACGTTTGGCAAAATGTGTGTTAGACAGATCACTGTTGCAATCGCGGTACGCTTGGCAAAATGTGTGTTCGACAGTGCTGTGCTAATTCAACTACAGTACAAATACCATGGCAATGATAGAAAGGCATTTATAAAAAAGTGAGTGATGATAACATTGGCCTTGATGCAACGTTGGTCAAGCTTCCAAAAAATGACCCGTGTTATATTGTCACCTGGGAATATTTAGTATTTTTTTCTGTTTTACCGGTTATTGTGACACGTGAAGATCCAGGTTAGAATTGATCTTCAGCAACCCATGCTTGTCGTAAGAGGCGACAGGTGGGATCGGGTGGTCAGGCTCGCTGACTTGGTTGCCACATGTAATCGGTTCCTAATTTAAGCTCATGCTGTTGAACACTGGATTGTCTGGTCCAGACTCGATTATTTACAAACCCCCTCAGACAGCGGGAATATTGCCGAATGCGGCGTTGACAACAAACAAACAAACAAACCCGACAGTTGCGGAGACCATTCTGTGGGTGGTGTTGTGGTACACACTGTTAAGATGGATGTATCTGTGCCAATGTTTTTGTGTTATTATGTCAACTGTGGATGTCCTTAAAAAATTTCTTTCACAAAATGAATCCTAGTGTAATCCCATCTGTATCACAATAACAAACTTGTGATTGTTTAAGAAAACACAACACCAACGCCTCCTAATTCCTGAAACAGTTTATTCATCCGTATCCAGATCTTTCAAAAACGTTGAATGCATGAGACCTGTGAACAGACAGCGAAATCATTTAAAATGAACTCCTGTATTTGAGCAAACATAATACAGCGTCTTCGAAGCAAATTTTGAATTTAAACTGCTTGTACAGCTGAGTAAGTTTGTTTTCTTTAAACAATATCTCACCAATATCACAACGCGGCACAATGAGTGAGTGAGTGAGTTGTTGGGTGGGTTTCGAGTGAGTGAGTGAGTGGATAGTTGGGCGGGTTTCGAGGGAGTGAGTGAATGAGGAAATATCACGGCGAGGGACACCAGGAAAAGGCTTCACAGATGCTGCCCAACGAATGGGGATTCGAACCCGGGACGAGCGACATATTTAACCACTTGGTCCTTGAACTACTAGGCTACACCATCCACCTGAACATAATAGGGAAGAAACTATCGCTATTATTCAAATAATTGTTTATTGTGTAATTTGTCATGATTATTAAACAGCGTTTTCAAAAATATTCGAAGCATATTACAACGGAAATTCCCCCCAAAGTCTTCACATCTTTCCACCACGTTGGGAATCGAACCCTGGTCGTTTGCGCAACGTGGTAACGCGTTAAACGAGAAGGCACTACATCGCATCATAGTGAGTGAATACGTTTAGTTTTACGCCGCATTTAGCAATATTCCAGCAATAACACGGCGGGGGACCCAGAAATGGGCTAACACATTGAACTCATGTGGGGAATCGAACCCGGATCTTCGGTGCAGCGAACGAACGTTGTAACCACTAGGCTAACCCACCGCCCCATCGCATCGTAAACATCCTAAGTACCTCCACTTCTGTCCTTTAGTATGTTCCCTTCACGAGAGATTGCGGTGGGGTTCTCACTCTGGCTCTGAGAGGAGAGTCGAAAATGTCGGAGACAAAATCACCAAAACGGCCAAAGGCGGGAACGTCGCCGAAGAAGCCTCTTCTGATGCCTCTCCTAAGGCCTCTCCTAAGGCGTCTGGTTAAACCTCCACTTAAGCCACTGGTTGGACCCCCGGCGAAGCCGGTGAAGCCGTTGACTACGCCTCCGGTGAAGCCGCTGAAGCCGGTGGGTGGTCCTCCGGTGAGGCCGCTTACAACGGTGGGTGCGCCTCCTGTGATCCCGATGGGTGAGCCTCCGTTGAAGCCGCTGAAGCCGTTGACTGCCCCTCCTGTGAAGCCGCTGAAGCCGGTGGGTGGTCCTCCGGTGAGGCCGCTTACAACGGTGGGTGCGCCTCCTGTGATCCCGATGGGTGAGCCTCCGTTGAAGCCGCTGAAGCCGTTGACTGCCCCTCCGGTGAAGCCGCTGAAGCCGGTGGGTACTCCTCCGGTGAAGCCGCTGAGGCCGGTGAACGATCCTCCGGTGAGTCCGCTTACGCCGGTGGGTGCGCCGACGGTGGGTCTCCCAGCGATGATGACCGACCCGTGTGAAGGCCCACACAGCAGCACAGCCACCAGAATAACAACAGCACACCTCATTTCCGGATATCTAAAATATAAGGACCTTGGTTATTTTCTGGCCAAAATATATAGATTTAACGGTATTGTCTCTACAATCATAGGCGGATCCAGAGGTCTCTCTGTGTGTGTGTGCGTGCGTGCGTGCGTGCGTGCGTGCGCCCCTCCCTCCTTTTGTCCTGAAAATTTATTGAATGACCATTGAAAATCGTGAAGACGGGTGAAAATGAAGTGTGCACCCCCCTTTCTCAATAGTGTGAATCCCCCTTTCTCAAAAAGCTGTATCCGCCCCTGCTCTTGTCATTTGTCCTTGTGTGTCCAATTTTACATTTTTTTAAATCTTTTACAGCTGCCGTGCCTAACATTATTCAAGCAACGGCAGCCGGTAAATATTCGAGATAGGGCCAGACAATCGAGTGATTGAGATTAGAAGCAACAATCAACATCACCGGTTTATGATCATATGCAACCAACCAAGACTTCGAGTCTGATCACCCGTTCCATTCAGACGCACCATACTGTTAGCACAGGCTGCTAGGAACCGTTTCTAAACGGGATCCCATTAGTGCCAATGTATACATATACACCACCCATCAAAAGTTTAGACTCACTAGTCCCCACATGGGTGCAATGTGTGAAGCCCATTTCTGGTGTCCCCCGCCGTGATGTTGCTGGAATATTGCTAAAAGCGGCGTAAAACTAAACTCACTCACTCACTCATTAGACTCACTAGTGTAAATGTAGCCATTCAGTCAACTGTTCTAAACTAGATTTTGCAAAATATTCCATACTGTTGAAAGGTACTGTTTACACATGAACTCATGTATTTTAAACCAAATTCGTAGCGTTGAAAAGTTAATTGTCATGAACTCAATAAATGATGAAAAGTCTTAACAAAACTTTACACCAAAACGCAGCTGTTCACGTGCACGATATTTGCACATGCTTTTCAGCAAATCGATGCATGATCCTCGTGCAATCTATCTGAATAAAGTTTGCAGTTGGTTCCCCAAAGTTAGTGGAGAAATGTAACCATAATATACATAACATATAGTGAGCGCTTTACGTGAGTCTAAACTTTTGATGGGTAGTATTAAAGGCCACCATAACTGACGTTTACCTCTTCACTCTTCACGTTTCTCATATACAAAATCTATTTTTGATCCCAAATTTACTAGATTATTTTTTATTTATAACTGTAGCTAATCCTGACTCACTTAACGTTACAATTTTATGATCGAAGCATTTTTTTTACGAAGTACAAACTTAACTGTGAGTGAGTGAGTTGGGTTTTACGCCGCTTTTAGCAATATTCCATCAATATCACGGCGGGGGACACCAGAAATGGGGTTCACACATTGTGCCCATGTGGGGAATCGAACCCGGCGGGCCTTCGGCGTGACGAGCGAACGCTGTAACCACTAGGCTACCTCACCGCCCCTAACAGTGAAAGGGCAACGGTTGTCCCTTTTCGGGCGTTGTCATCTTTGACTTGTAACTTAATATGAGTAACATAAATTGTGAAGAAACCATTATCATTACATTACTATTGAATCAATCTTCAAAATAAGTGACCCGGGTTAGAATGAATCTTCAGTAACCCATGCTTTTCGTAAGAGGTGACTAACGGGATCGGGTGGTCAGGCTCGCTGGCTTGGTTGACACATGTCATCGGTTCCCAATTGCACAGATCGATGCTCATGCAGTTGATCACTGGATGGTCAGGTCCCAGACTCGATTATTTACAGACCGCCGCCATATAGCGGGAATATTGCTGAGTGCGGTGTAAAACTAAACTCACTCACTCAAAATAAGTCGGTTTTAGTTGAACTTCGTGAGTACAGCATTCTCTTGTCCGACTTATGATAGCCAGGGAAAATTGAATGTAACAACAAACCGTGCGGTGGACAGCAAAGTCGAACAATATCAGACAGACAGTTGTTGATAGTGATGAGAGAGTGACTTGGGTTTTACGCCCTTTTAGCTATAGTCTTGCGATATCATGGACTCCAAAAATGGGCTTCACACATCATACGAATGTGGTGAATCAACCCGGTTTTCGGCGTGACGAGCGAACGCTTTAACCACTAAAGACCAACAAAGAAAACCTATCCTAGAAACAGCAATGCCAGTAAATGTTCTTACCTGAGTATATTTTGGATGGACGGTGAAAAAACGAATATACGTCCCCCCGTCTTCCAGGCTCTATATAGGGGGAGGCAGCCAGATTTCATTGCTCACTGGGCTATCGATCATAATGAAGCATCAAATATATCTCTTTGTTCCACGAATGATGACTCTCTTTCCCTTTCCCCGGTGATTGATTTCATTGTAGACTCTGTTGACATTTATGCAGAAATCCTACTTTAGATTGGATGGGGAATTCTTAATCACGCGACCTTGGTACTAAGAATACCAGAACAGAAACGTGTATTCTCATGAAGCCATATATTATGTAAAAGAGGGCAGAGGGTCGCGTCATGTCAGTCCTAAAACCATAATATCATATTTTATTTAATTTCTATGCAGCTTTAAATGTTTCGTTTATAAACCTTGATAGAGTTTTCAGTTTTATCGTACGACAGTGTTAAAGTATAGAGACAGTCGCACTGTGAGACAAATCGCTTTGTGGAGAGAGTGAATATTATTTTACGCCGCTGTAGTCACTATGCTATTACTGCCACGGCAGTGGACAGCAGAATTTGGCTTAACACATTGTTCGCATGCAAGTGATCGAACCTAGGTCTCCGGCATGAAAGGTTTCAACCACTGGTCTACCACTCAAGCCTTTCGGGACAATACTCTTTACTTATTCATAATTTTGTTAGATGCGAATATGAACACATGTATGTGTTTTTAATTGGAGTAGGAATGATTATAATATACCATTATGATAAGCATAATAATGATTTTCATTGCATGTATAATATACTGAGACAATATCCTATCGAACTGTACTGATATCTTTACAATTTTGTGTTAGAAACATGTTGGTAACTATGTTATAACAAACACATATTTTGGATGTAAATATTCCATCAAGAACATATGGAAACATAGAAACGATATTTCCGCTTTATCGCCCTTTCCAAAACGTCCGAAAAGGACACATTTCATGAAACTCCAAGCGAAACAAAGTCCCTCTGGGGTTGTATCAATACTACAATGTAGAAAACATAATTTTATATTGATGAACTATCGCTTTAATATATGTATAAATGTCTGCTTTATATGTTTTTAGCGCCTCTCATAGCTTAACATGAGTGGCGCTGTATCATGTACTTACTGTCTTATGTCTGTATATATATTATTTTAAAGATCTACAATAAAAGGAAGTAAATAAAATATCTGTCTGTCTGTATGTCATATATAGGAAAAAAAACGTTTAATAAGTTACAGCTAGGAGGTATGCTCGAAGCAAAACTCTCATCAAGTGCGCTCTAATCATGATTTTATTCCAAGACAAGTACCTTTAGGCGCACTCACGGGGATGGGCGATTATTGTTTATGGCATCTAGACCTTTTTTTATTTGCAGTAATTTTATTTATTTTTTATCTGTCCCAGACGTCTTTCTGTCTGACTGTATATGACATGTGTGCCTATCTTGATCCCTAATCCCGGAAATGGTAGAACAGGTAGAAAGTAGGCGTCGTTTAAAACAACAAACAAGTATTATTCTGACAGTGCGTATCCACTTAACGAGATGAAGTGACCTCGTTAGGATGAGAAAGCCACAATAACTCGGTGCGCCTAGTGTCAGCAAGAGTTGTATACTCCCAAGGGAGTTGAGATTGCTAATACGATGTGCAGTTGATATTGACATCCAATGATCGAGGGAAAAAATACCAGCGCCTTGAGCATGCACTAGTGCGTGGATATGTGCGCTATATAAATATCCTATAATAATATAATAATATTAGTCTAGAACCTTGCTTTTTCTCATTTTAAGAACAAAACCTCTAATGTTTAATCTTTCTTGCTTTGACTTCATTTTCTATTGCTTAGGTTTGTTTTTTCCATAATGATTGTTTTGCACAAATTTCAGATTATGAGTTCGTTCGTATGTTTCATCTGTAAATTTACAGTTTGTGTTGTTTATTGTATTTAACAATACCAATATCTTCAATCATTTATTCAATATCGACCTGTGTTTCTGTCTTACGGCCTGCCTTTTTGTTTATGTGACTAAAAATTGAGGAGGCCTTGATATGTGTGACAATATAATGAACTAGTCTGTCAACTGTGAACATTATCTAACAAGGGAGATAATTCTTATACAACTTCTTTATCGCCATCAGTGAGACATGTCGGTGTAGATACATGTACTAACACCGATATGAAGCACGTGACGTAGGTGATTATCTCCCTTGTTCATCATATCAACTTAAGGAAGTTGTGTGGAGGTCATTGTATCTGTGACATGGGTTCGTTGTAGACAGTCACCCGTGGAGGTGATGGCATCTGTGACATGGATTCTTTGTAGACAGTCACCCGTGGAGATCATTGTTTCTGTGGCATGGGTTCGTTGTGGACAGTCACCCGTGGAGATCATTCATCTGTGCCAAGGATTCGTTGTAGACAGTCACCCGTGGAGATCATTGCATCTGTGACATGGGTTCGTTGTAGACAGTCACCCGTGGACGATCATTGTATCTGTGACATGGGTTCGTTGTAGACAGTCACCCGTGGAGATCATTGTATCTGTGACATGGGTTCGTTGTAGACAGTCACCCGTGGAGATCATTGTATTTGTGACATGGGTTCGTTGTAGACAGTCACCCGTGGAGATCATTGTATCTGTGGGATTCGTTGTAGACATGGATTCGTTGCAGACAGTCATCCGTGGAGATCATGGCATCTGTAGACAGACATGGGTTCTTTGTAGACAGTCACCCGTGGAGATCATTCAATCTGTGACATGGGTCTGTTGTAGACAG